CCTCCAGTACCTTATCAGTGGAAGGGGTATCCTCCCTCTGAGAACACTTGGGAGCCTTTAGGAAATCTAGGCAATGCTAAAAAGGCTATTGCAGATTTCCATAGGCTTTACCCCTCTGCTCCCAGAAGGATTTCAGCCATCACCTTTGATAGGCTTCACTTCCAACCACTCATTAACTATACTATACCACCTAAAAGGGTTCTCTTTGATTGGACATCTGGAAAGAAGAAGGGAAAAGCAGAAGAAGGAGTATCAACATGCTGGGACAGCATGTCTAGAAGGGGGGGTGATGTCAGGGCACCAGCTCATTGCTTGGTCAAGAGACATGACTAAGCCTTTATGACATGGAAGTAGCTGGTATACCTTGGCATGTGCTGGAACCTGCTGGAAGGATTGGATGGTCAGGTGACCTGCTGTGCATGGCTGTGCATGACCTCATATGACCTCATCCTTGATCATATGACCTGATCACCTGACTAGGCTGAGTAAGCAAGATGTTCTAGCAGGTTCCACCACAGAGGTATAAATATAAGGCCTACTCTGCCCGGGACTGTCTCTTCAGACTTGGTCTCTTAGGATCATCCACAGGTACCTATACTGTAGATAGGTCTTAGTCATCAGGTCTACTCCACTTCCTTGTTGCCTGCTTAGACTCTTGGCACTCTTAGGTGAGCAGACTTAGTCAGCCTGTGTTGCCCTAACACACACCCATCAATGCAGTCTCTCAACATGACAGCCTTCTGGACTTGCCCCTATCCATCTCCCTCACTCATCCATTAATGTTTCCTTGCCCTTTTTGGTACTTCCTTCCTGTTTACAATCAGTGCCACATCAACGGCAGATTCCATGAGCTGATGTCAAACACAGAGAATCGGACCACAATGCTCCTGATGAACAAATCAAGAGAACTGGCTATTAGTAATGCAAAAACAAATGAGGGAAGTGACTTCCAAGAACTTGGGGTGACAAAATGACTGGTTCAAGTTCTGTGTGAGAATCAAAAGTGATCCATTTATGGTATGTGGTGATGTGGCAAAGAAATTTGAAACATAATTGTCCCACCTATATATGTTGTAAATGTTGCACCCCTAGCCTTGGGCAAATCACCATGTTTCAGCCCTATCTTGCCTAGGCTAGGGTAGGCAGATGCAAGAGGCCTTGCCATACCTGGCCTGATCCCGGATCAAGGCTGTCTGTGCTGGGGGCTAGGTCAGGCCTTCTCAGGATACATATATTATCCTTCCCTGTCATAGGTTAGATTAGATTACATATGATCATGAGATCTATTCTTTCACTGTCTTACCCAGGCTGTGACTAGCTTGTCCATCTGTGTTTGCTAGGCTAGGTTTAACCAGCTCACCTCTCTGTGGCCAAATTGAGGTTGCACAACTCAACTGTCTCAGATCATAAGGCAGCTTGATATGTAGTTGTGCTGGTCATTGGAAGACCAGCACATAAATTTCCTGTGAAGTCAAGTCACATTAATTACAGGTGTCCAATTTACAGGCTTTATAGTCTACACTGGGCTCTGCCCAGCCCTGCTGTGCACCACCTCATCAGCCTCCTCAACTGTTTCCCCAGTGCCCTTGATCATCACAAGAAATTTCACCACCAAAGGCAGCTTGAGGATTTGGCAGAGTGCCCCTAGAACTATCACAATAGTTAGTATTTGTTAATATATTGTACAAGTAAGGAGGGTGGCTTACCCATCAGCACCACAGCCTTGAGAATCGAAGGTCCATACTCCACCACAAAGTCCTTGATTGCTGTCCATGCTGTACTGGTGGCCTCCAGAACCTTGGTCTTTGCCTGTGCTGAACAACCCCACCTCTGGTGGGGTGTGTCAGGCTGGTATTCCCATGGCTATTTTTGGGCCTTAGAGACTGTTGCACAGCACTACGGACCCTCACTACACAGACAACGCACCCCAGCAATGAGCCTTGACCCCCCACAGATATTTGGCATAGCGACTACTAGGATTCCCCAGGCAATGGGACCACCCAGATATTTGGCATGACAACTGCAGGTTTCCTCTGCAATGGGATTGACCCACCTGGATATTCGGCATGCCAATGTCTGCCTTAACTGGATGGACACTGAGCTCTGATTTACTGACCAATTTCTGATAGCTCAGCTACAGGCTGACTCCCACATTTCTACTGACTTTCCCCATCTCTCCCCTCTTTCCCTAGTGAGTTCTTGCACACCACCCATCAGACCAATACTTCGGACACCTCTTGGGTTGGATCAGCATGCAGTGGATGGCAAAGTGCCCCTTCCACCTCCTCATGCACTCCTTGAAGCCTGGCTTTGTGCGCCCCCTGACAGCATCAACCTGGCTGATGCGGGCCTGTATGGCCCATGCCTTGTTGAGCTTTGCTTGGTGAGCAAGTGCCAGCCCAGCCTTGACCTCAGTGTCTTCTTTGGCATACACCTCGACCTGCTTCTGGTAACCCCAGGTGTATCCCACTTCTCCTGTGTGCATGATCTTGGCCTGGAACAAGCTCTTGGTGGCTTCTGCTAGGTCACACTGGGCCATCTGCGAGCCCTCAAGCTCAGTGAGGGTGAAGGCCTTATCAGGAGGACAGATGTTGGTGTGTCAACAGCCTGCTCCCCCTCCTCCTCCTCCTCATCTTCCTCAGCTGCTTGGGCACATTTGGGCTCCATGTCATCATCCTGTGAGAGGTGTCAGTGAGACTGTATGCATGCTGGTCTTCCAACAACCAGCACAACTACATATCAGCAGCCTGAGGTAGCTGTATGTGTTTGCTGATGCTGGTACTTACCTCATCATTCCTCCCCAGACTCACAAGCTCCTGAACCTTCACTATACTCAGCATAGCCCCCTCCTTCCCTTTTGACTGCACCATTTCATATAGGGCCTTGAGGACCATGACCTCTTGGGTGGTCAGCACAATGCAGGTGTCATTCTTCTCACTGCTGCTTGCTCCAGTGACCTCAAGGACATTCTTCTGCTTGCCCTTTACCTTCTCACCTGCTGCAGGCATCTCAAGTGTTGACACAGAATTGTTTGCCTTCTTGCACACCTTGATGATTGAACACCATGGGTTGATTGCTTCCTTGAGGTTGCTGAGCAGCTCCTTCTCCTGTGTGAAGAAGGAGCTTGGCACCCTAGAAGCTGTTGAAGCAGGAGAGGCAGGAGCAGAGACAAAGTCAGCATCAGACATGGTGGTGAATGGAGTGAGAGATGAGAGAGACAGGGGTTAGTGCACTTGGGTGAGTTTGTGCAGCCTTGAGGAGCTCAGAAACTGATTCCATCCCCAATGGTGGTGAAATACTATTGGTTGCCCCTATACCAGCCTCAAGGCAACAATGCGACACAGAACAAAACCCAAGAGTGTCAATTGTAAGTTAATATCTCGCAGTATGCAGTAGACATTGCCTCACTTTGAAATGTAGTTGTGCTTGTTGTCCCCACAAGGCAGATGCAAGCACACAAGTGGAGGCAGCTTCCTTTGCCACAGTCCCATAGGTTGTTGAACCACTACATGTTAGGTTACCTAGCTGTCAGAGGTGGGATTATTGTGAAATACTAGAGATGAACATTTTCTGTGAAGCACTAGTGATAGATTGACAATGAGAACAAAGTGATATTGACATCAAACCTCTCATTGGGCCATCTCCTAATCATTGGTATTGCCAAATCCAGCCCTTACCCAAGGCATGGATCTTAAGTGTCCAACAGCTTTAGGAGCTTGGTCATTGCCTCAAGCCTCCTCCTTGCTGTCTGACACCAAACCACCATCTCCTTAGTGCTATACTCCACAATTCTTCACTCAAAGCTATCTCATCCCTACCTACTGTCAATCCATCCTCCTCCTCACTGTTCTACACCTAGCACCATAACCCTGGTGCTGTACTTGGTCATTGACTTCCAAACTAATCTCATCTCATAAGTACTAGTCTCTGACTCTATCTTACACCCCCCAAATTCTAACAGACAAGTGATTTGCTGGTGCAAACCCATTTGCACCAGTATGGGGGTGCATTTAGGGGACCATACAGGTTCTTTTGACAAGGATAGGGGCATTGGTGCATTTAGATAGACATTGTGAAATGTCCCCTGCCTGATCATGTCTACAGATCCAGGTGCTCCAGTCTCTTCCTCCATAAGATTATGCCCCAAGTGAGTGATTGACAGGGTTTCTCAGGGCTATTTGCCAAATGTCAAACCAGTTTCTGATGACCAGCACAACTACACTTCAAGCACTGAAGGCCTGTGTGACAGTGCAAACCCTGCCTGCCTGCAGGGCAGTGGAGCTGCTGACACTGTGGCATCCTTGCAGTATGCTGACCTAGCTTGCTGCAATGACCAGCACAACTACATATCAAGATTCTCACCCTCAATTCATCACACCCCTCCATGGACCCCCTCTTCTGACATCACCATCTTACTGGCAGAAGGAACTTCTGCCTCCCGCCTGGAGTCCACCAAAAGTCAAGAAGAAGCCAGCCCCAGCTTCCACCATTCTAGCAAGATTGTCTTCACCACCCTCCTCTATGCCACCCTTCCCAGCATCCTCCAAGTCCAGCCTATGCCACTCCTTGTGGTATCTGAACAAATTGGCCGTAGTTGCTGCCTGTCAGGCTGATGTGGAGAGGGAAGTTGCCAAGGCTCTGTGGCAGGAGAAGTTCAAGAGGCTGGGTCATGGCAGTTCAACCCAACTGATCCTCAGAGCCACATAGACTCTGAGCAGAACCCATTGCATCAACTCTTTTTCCTTGACCACCCTGTCCTTCTCATTCAACCAAACTATTCATCTATCCTGTGCCTGTGCTATCTTCACAAGGCAGCCCCAGCAGGATGCCTTGTGCCATTCCTGACACCCCACACTGAGTGTGTGCTTGCTTCAGAGCAGCCTACTTGCACTTTGTAGTAGTTCTACCTAACCCACATGTACCTTGCCCTTAGGGCTGTAAATGACCTACATTAATACACTCGTTAGGAAAAAAAGGCCCTTTACCATCTATGGTTACATAATCATAGGCTAGGCAAGGTGACATCCACAGTCAGGGTCTGGAAATTCCCTAAGGTTTCTTCTAGGCCTCTTCTTTGATACATATCTGTATCCTCAACCGTCTTATTCGCGCATATCACTTATATTACCTGCTCGACACTAGAGAGTTAGGTGGGAAGACGAGCAGAGTGGAACCAATGGCGAAGTGAGTCTGAACAGCGTGGCTCACTTTGGACTATGCTGACATGCATTGTTTAGTAATCGCAGTGCTGCAAAGAAGATCATGCCTATTTCGATGATCAGGGGGCAGGAGCAATGCATGTGCTGCTCTTGCAAGACTCCGGCGAGGCCTCAAGGCGTTCTGTGGCCACCCAGCAAGATGTGCTCGCACCAGCGAGCGATTGCTAGGTGCACAACTCATCCGGAGCTGTCACATCTGGATCAGTGACAGTGCATTGCCCGACTTCTCCGCCTCTTCCTCCTTTGCCGTCCATGCCTTGTCCAAGCTCAACATCCGAAACATCTATTTTGCTCACGGCGGATCCTGAAGTGGCGTATCCGCCGTCTCCTCCCTCTCCGCTGTCACCAATCCCAGTTCCGAATAACGAGCTCTCTCCGCACTGACCACCTCCAGCCTGTCAGACCCTGCTCCCTGGCGACACACCTTCAATTCCAGCTACAAACGCCCCTTCTCCTCCAGCTCAACCCCATTTCCCGACAGCAATGGAGATTGAGGACAAGGAAGAGCTCGAGTCGCCTTTCGACATCAACTCGCTCGAGCAGGACGAAGGCATGGCAATAGCAGATCTAGGCATACATAATCCGTTATGAGAACGCACCAGTGGTCCGCTGCGATCCTCAGAGGTTCCTCTGGAGAGCTACCTCCGAGTCCATGCCAATCCGGGCGTACGAGCACTCTGCCTGCTCGTTCTGCATCTCCACGCACGGTATCAGTTACCGCACCTTGCTTGTGCTTTTCTTGCTTCGATGGTCTATGCCATCTTCGAATTCTTTAGAGTCTTGAGTCCATCAACAGCGTTCACTCTAACAACTGCTCCTCCTCAATCTCTGAACACCATGTATCGGCGTTTGCGGCTCTGGGATAGATTCGAAGTCAAAACGATCTGTCCCAAATGTTGAGAATTCAAACGTTTCGACGAGGCGCAACCTGACCTCAATCTCCTCGAAGAGATGTGCCTTCCGGACGCGGCAGAGGCAACAAATCAGGCAGAAGAGTGGCAGCGATACTGCTTGCGCTGCCGCTCAGCTCTATATGAACCATCACCTCGGTTCGGTGCTCCTCGCACACTTCGACAAGCCCCGTACGATCTTTTGTCCTGGCAGCTTGCAGACTTCCTGGGTCAGCCAGGTTTTGAAGATGCCTGCGAATCAGATCTTGACACACCAAGTGTGCCTGGGGTCTACACCCGCCTACAGGATGGGAGTGTGTGGAAGGAATTGAAGGCTCCAGATGGCTCACCTTTCTTTCCTACCTCCCGGGAAGAGGCTCGACGTCAGGCAGAGCTGTGACTTGGTCTGCTGGTTGCTATGGACTGGTATGTGGTGCATGCTCTGGTATAACCCCCATCGGACTGGCTGCACTTAGGTTCAATCCAAACGATTCTGCTACATCCGAATCACACTCCACAGGCCTGTTGTCAGTCTGTATTGCCAATCTCCCGCCTGACCTAAGGTACGTGCTGCCCTGCAGTGAAAGCCCCTAGCTGACATCAGACAAGATTTCGAGTACACAACTTATGCTTGGTTGGAATACTTCCCGGGCCAAACGAACCGGACACGGAAGGAGTGCAGCGGTTCATTCGACCCATGGTGGATGACCTAGAGTTGCTGTATGAGGAGGGGATCAATGTGATCACACCCCAGCACCCAGATGGTGTGCCTCTAACAACCAGCACAACTACAATCAACCAACTGATCATGCCTGTTAGGGATACTAGTTCGAGTGGCAGTTGTGTGTATAGTATCAGACCATCCAGCCCATTGCAAGCTTTGTGGTACTGCTGATCACAGGCACAATGCTCGGCCCTGCACTCAGTGCGAAATCCCGCGATCCGACTTATTCAACGCCGGTTGGCAACCCCATGGGTTCCCTCTCAAAGATGGCTTACTCCACAAACGTCGTGCTGCGCGATGGTATTGGCTGCAGCAGAACGGGAAGTCTAAACTCGCCAGCAAGTATTTCACATGATACGGTGTACGATGGTCCGAGTTCTGCCGACTCAGATATTTCGACCCAATCAAGCAAGGGGCGCTGGATCCTATGCACCTCTTTCTACCAGGTATGCTCGGACTTACTCCTGCAATCCCCCTCTGATGCTCTGATAGGCATGATGAAGACTATGTGGTACAACAATTGGGTACTCGGGGGGAAGGAGAAGAATAAGGTTCTGAGGGGAGCAACGGAGGCCGGCACCCGACGAGAGCTGGATGAGATACATGATGTGTTGGCTACAGTAAGCTTATCCTTTGTGCAGGATTCAGAGGTTCTAACACTTCTTCCCTCCCCACCTCTGCCCCTGCGCGTCCACGTTCTGAACCCCCTCGAACCATGACAGTTTGAATTTCCCAGCTGGTATGCTCGTCTAGGTTATCCTGCTGGGGGGAAGTTTGACATCAGATGAATGGCGCGCTCTGGGAGTGCTATACGAACCGGCTGCAGTAAGCTGGATCACATCTGCACACTCATTGTTGCTAATGCTTGCAGATCCCACCTGTGCTGCTTAAGGCAGCTGACCCGGTCCACCCCGGTGCTGCTCGCAACTACCTGAAGCTCGCCACTGCCATCAAGATCTACCTACGCCGCGAGATCACAGAATCCGACCTGGTACGGGCAGCGGACGTGTACAGGGACTTCTTTGAAGAGTTTGTGCAGGTAAGTGACCAGCACAACTACATATCAAGCTAGGTCTCACATTCGGTTCAGATTTACGGCAAAGCCAACGTCACGCTAACCTTCCACTGGATCACTCACATGACGGAGCAGATCTGGCGTTTCGGACCTGTGCATGGCTTCTGGACGTTTTTGTTTGAGTGCCTGAATAAGGTGCTCAAAGGATACGAAACAAATGGACACAAGGGAGGAGAGGCCGAGTGGACATTTGCAAGAGAGTTCAAGCGTGAAACAGGCTTGTCTCGCTTGGTGGGTCTGTATATGTCAAATCGATCACGCTGACACCCTTTTAGAACACCATCCTCGCAGGTCAGAGTCAAGATCCGCTGGCCCGTCTTTTGCCGTTGAGCTGCAAAGGCGCTCGAGAGATATCGCACGTATCGGCACGCTGGCTGCTATGACTGCAGAAGCGCAGGATGAAGCTGCAGTCAGTCTAGGCCAGCGTCTCGAGGAAGCTGCATCTTATCAGGTACCGCACAACGTCGCCCACTTGATCAAGACCTTCAAGAGCAGCTCCTGAGTTGGTATCAACGCCATCACCCTTACCTCAGCGTTCAGCACCCCGGTGACCCCACTGCACCACGAGGCAGTGTCTTCCTCAACAGTCAAGGCGACTTCCATTCCGAGCTGTGGCTAGAAGGGAAACAGATTGTTCCCTGCATCGAGGAGAAGATCTCCAAGTCCGACTCACTTGTACTTTGTCAGTTTCGAGAGGGTGTGCAGTGGGTAGGTGAGCTACGAGGCCTGGTCAGTCACCTGCAGCCAGGTTTGGTTGACGTGCAAGAGTTCACCATTGTCGCCTGGCTGGTGCCCCTTCAAGATACTCCTCCCCATGCCAACCTGTACGTCGACTTCAAGGAGCTCGAAGTCGGCTTTTGGCAATACGCACAGTACCAGCAGCTGGCCGATGTGGGCCCGGACGCGATTATTCCAGCCTGCGACATATGTGGGACAGTAGCTCGGTATACGATGGAAGTAGGAGGATGCAAGATGTGGATTACTACGGGATTGAGCAAGGTACGTAAGTATAAAACATAAAGAGAGACAAGAACGGTAATCGCAGGCTAAGAATGGGAGATCACTCTGACTACGTTTTTTGTTTGTTTGTCGTTGTGTTGTGATGTTTGTGTAGCTGGTGTGGTTTGTATGGTAAGGACCTGTATGACAGTGAGTCGATGAACATCTGCGGGTTAGGGGTACTGACGGGAATTTGTTGCAGAACGAGGAATTGTGCTGGCGCCGTCGACCAGCACAACTACACATCATCATCTGCAGCAACCCCTAGGACATTGGAGGCCGGAGTAGTAAGCATCTTCTCCCAGACAGGGCCATTGATGTCGTCCGGATAGAAGGGCATGGGCTTCCAGTCTGCATACTTCGGGAGCTCTTGCTCCCTCCAGGTCGGATCAAGCATGAACTGGAAGGGGGCGCGGTTGGGAATCAAGGGGGACTCTCGGCCGAGATCCGCACGCTTGTACTCTTGGTGCGTATGCATCCTTCTCCCACCGGATGTCTGCCGGCGGCTTGCGCGATCAGCCAGGCGTTGATTGATCCAATCCTATATCTGCGATACGGTAAGCCTGTATGTCTATGTCCAGTTCTACTTCTTAACTCACTCCTGCATGCATCCAAATTGGCTTTCACTTCTCGAGGATCGCGACATCAGGATCGTCGCGCTCCGTCAGGGAGATTGTGCCTGCCTCGAAGAGCTTCTGCCTCCAGCTCTCGTTTCGCGTTCCATCCTCATCACAGGACCACTCCTCTCCAACCCATTCCTCATCGACCAGAGCATTATGCATCTCCTGATGGTCGAGATCATGCTCCTGGCAGAAGTCGACAATGGCGTCACAGAGTTGCTGGCCGCGCTGCGGATCCGTACGTGAATTCAGTTCCATGTGGAAAGGAGTCGCACTGACTGTCTTGCGCCTCTCGATTCTCCGAGCCTCTCGTTCCCTCCGCATTTTCTTCTCACCGCCGTCCAGCTCAGCAAGCCTCTGTTCAGTGTGCATCAACTTCATCGCTGGCCAGGAAGCACGTGCAAGATCAAGTAGGACGCCAGCTTGGAGCCATCACTCACGGCGGGTCTCGGGGACCGTCCCAGGGTGATCCTAGAAGGTACATGATGTGTAGTCGTGCTGGTCGTCGCGATATGCTGACAGACTCACACACTCGTAGGCAAGCACCATTTCGGCCGCACGCCCTTGGATAAGTCGATTTGGTGGGGCATTTATGCCAGCCTTGAAATCCGGCACAAGGAACTGACCAGAGCGTGCAACAAGAGGACCGCTGATGTCAGGCATAAGCGCGCCCCTCTGGTATCCGATCAGGTTGTACATTGTCTTGCGGACTTCCTTCTATGTATGGGTAAACTGACTGCAACCAGTACGACGATGTGAAGCTCACCTGCAGGTACGCGTGGACTGGGAGGTCCATTTCGTCCAACTGATCTCTCTGTAGGCGACTCACGAGGTGCGTACCGCACTGACGCTTGGAATACGGTTCCTCATCGTCATCAGTGAGTTGAGTGGGTCTGCGACGTCTCCTCGTACAAATGCTGGCATCCCTATGAGCTTGTTCCAGGTCGGTCAATCGGCGACGGAGCTCTTCGACTGCGGACTCAGCATGCAATGCAATGTGAGGATCATCAGGAGATGGTATGGAGGGTGATAGAGGGAGAATGGAAGGAGCACTAGTGGGCACAAATGATTGGGACGTGAAGGAGGAATCTGAGTCGTTGAGGGAGAAGAGGACAAGTGGTGCTGGGAGGCTGCGGAGGGCAGAGACGACGAAGGGCTGGGACGCGGTGAGTTGATATGTAGTTGTGCTGGTCGTCGAGAAGCGAGACTTACCCAGCTCCAGGAGCCTTCCTCGTGACCTGAGCGATGACTTGGGACGAGGTGGTCTCGCTGCCCACTTGATTCGACTGCAGCATGGCGATCAGGTTGGCCGCCAGCCTCTCCGTATCATGTGCGCCTTCGGTTGCGGAGATCGACTGGCTCGGGCTTCCAGAGGTGGACATGGCGAACGTGAGCAAGTGAGGCAGGCAGGAGAGAAAAGATGTCGGTGGTTTGGGACTGTCAAATTTGAATCTATATGGTTTGTGTATATGGCAACGTTCAAACTGAGCCAATTTTTTAGGATATTTTCCAAAGTATTAATATTTACTAGTATTCATGACAACCCGTTTAAGGAAAGATGGTTGGGGCAAATGAAATGTAAGATCTCACGGGCCGAGAGCAACCCGTTTAAATCTGAGCTTCCTCGAAGATTTCTTGATGCACGGCAAGGTCGGACTTTTCTGTTTATCACATATGAGATTTCCTAGGGCTAATCGAGGCTGATTAAATGGTCTTCGAAAGCTATTCTACGAACAAGTGTAGTTAAGATCCCCTACCTGGAAATAGCCTCGATGAGGTGAGCTTGATGACCTCATCTAGCCATCAGCAAGCAGGCCCTGAAATGCGGTGAATG